TTCTGCATGTTATCTGACAAAGTCTTACAGGAGTTACCAAAAGCTTTTTTTTTTTTTTTTTTTTTGGCATCTGTGTACAAAGAACTGCAAGGAAACACAAAGGGTTTCCAGGTTTGGCCACAGATGAGGAATCAGGCAAAGGTTTCATCATTTAGCAGAGAGGGAAGTTTTTTTGCTCTTTCACAATGTTGAATGTGATGTTTGTCCCTGTTCCCCTATCTATATCTTTTTTGCCTTAGCAGATCCTACACTAAGTTAAAAGTTACTATGATGTGCATGTAACACTCTACAAAGTGTTTGGACAAGAGTCCATCTAGTCCAGAACAGTTTCACATCTGCCAAAAGTCAAGCAAAATGTATTTTCACCACTTGTTTTTTTTTTTGTTAACTTCAACAACTCACAGCTTTGTAGATAAATGCAGGGACATGTGTAATAAGCCATTGTGTATAATAATGAAATAAAAGAAGGGAAAAAAACCCTTTCCAGCGATTTGAAATTTCCCAGTTATTTGAGGTGGGCTGTGATGAACACAGGTGAGCAAATGTGAACGCTGAGCAAGGTGTGGAACTCGGCAATACCAGGACAAACCTCTTGGGAACAACGTCGCTTATTTCTGCCAAGGGAGATAAAAAGGTTGTGGTAAACAACTGACACAACCTACCCGCCTTCTTCTGGACATCTTTTTCTGCTTTGACTCCCTCACGAAGGCCTGGTAGGACGGGAGCTCCCCAGAGGCGATGGCTCGCTCGATCATTGCCTGGATTCTCGGCTCGTCCGTGTAGTCCGCGCACATCACGGACTCCATGATCCGATTCATGTCACCCTTGAAGTTCAGGTACGCCGCCTTCACATCCTCCAGCTCTTCCTCTGAGTTTTTGTAGCTGTTCTGGAAGTCCTCGATCTTTTTTACGGTGACCTGGAGCAAAGAGATTACATGAGTAACTCCACGAGGTACAGGACTTGCTCACCAGAAGGATTTAAGACAGAATACATAAAAAAGAAACACTGGAGGGTTTTTCCGGCTCCCAGTGCTGCTCTCACCTTGAAGTGCAGCTGCCAGTACTCCATCCAGTCCCTGTCTCCCTGCAGCACCTCAGCATCCTCATCCACCGTGCCGGTCTCGTCGTACAGGGCACGTTGTTTGGCATCGCTCAGCACCGCGTACACCTTGCTCAAGATCTGCGGGACACGGGGGTGGCCGGTCATTGAGGGGGCAGTCACCTGGGGGGCATCGGTCACTCGGGGGAGCGGCCGGTCAGTCACTGGGGAGCGGGTGATCCGTCACTCGGGGGCAGGCAGTGGGTCGGTCACTTGGGGGGCAGCAGGTGGGGGAGTGGTGGGTCAGTCACTCGGGGTTGGTGGGTCAGTCACTTGGGGGGCAGTGGGGCAATCTCTTGGGGGGTAGTAGGGTGGTCACTCAGGGGATGATGGGTCGGTCAGTCACTCCGGGGAAGGTCAGTGGGTCAGTCACTCAGGAGGGTGGTGGTCAGTCGGTCAGGGTCGGTCACTCGGGGACAGTCTGTCAGTCACTTGGGGGTCCGTGGGGTGGTCACTCGGTTCGGGTGGCAGGTCAGTCATGGAGGTACAGTGGGTCGGTCCCTTGAGGGAGGGTGGGTCAGTCACTCGGGGTTGGTCACCCATGGGGTGGTGGGGTGGTGAGTCAGCCACAGGAGCGGGCAGTGGGTCCTTCCCTTGCGGGAGTGGTGGGTCGGTCACTCGGGGGGGGGGGTCGGTGGGTCGGTCACTCGGGGGTCGGTGGATCGGTCACCCGGGGTGTCCCGCCCCCTTTCCCGCCTTCCCGCCGCCGCCTCCCGCGCTCACCTGGAAGCGGCGCGTGGCCTCCTCCTTCTGCTCGGCCGGGACGCGGTCGGGGTGCAGGCGCAGCGAGGCTTGGCGGTACCCGCGGCGGATCTCCTGCGGGGACGCCTCTCGCCGCACGCCCAGCGCGCCGTACAGGTCCGCCGTGCCGAACACGGCCTCGCACTGCTGCGGCAGCGCCATCCCGCCGCCCCGGGACCGCCGCCACACGGCCCGATCCGCCCGCCCCGGGCCCGCGCTGCAGAGCGGTGGCTGCGCCGGGCGGGACTGGCGAGGGGCGGGGCCGCCATCTTGAGGGGCGGCTGAGGGGCGGCACCGCTGAGGGGAGGGGCCGCCATGTTGGCGGGAGGCGGCGGGGCTGCGGCGGCGCCGCGGAGGGGCGGCGGTGGGGCCGCCGGGGCCAGGGGAGGCCGAGGGGCTGCCTCGCTGAGGGGACACGGCGGCGGCGGCGGTGGCGGCGGTGGCGGTGGGGCGGCGGCGCCTCTGAGGGGCGGCCGAGGGGCCGCGGCGCCGAGGGGAGGCGGAAGGGTCGCCATGACGCGGGGCGGTGCCGCCATGATGAGGGGAGGCGGCTGAGGGGCGTCCCCGCCCCGTGGAGTCCTCAGGTTGGGGGTAGGGATGGGGATGGGAATGGGAGTGAGCCCTTTGCGGTGGGTCAGCGTTCATGACCTGCTGGAGCCGCTCGGCGGAGCGGGGTGGGATGGAGCGAGGCGCAGCGTTCGCGGTGTGTTCGGGTGCCCTCGGAGCCGCCGGTGAGCGGAGCCCCCGGCCCGTGACCGCCGCGTGCGAGCGACGGCCGGAGCGCCTGGGTGCAGTTACCGCCAGGGAATCGGAGAAAAGAGACTCCTCAAGGGGCTCCCACTGGGCCCCGCTGGAAAACAAGCACCTTTGCTGGCTTTTTGGAGTGCTGAGGTCCTGGCAAAGGTGCCCCATCCCTGGAAGTGTCCAAGGCCAGGTTGGACGGGGCTTGGAGCAACCTGTCATAGTGGAAGGTTCACACTTCACACATTTTTTTCCTTCCAGGCTGTGCCCTATGTGACAACAGGAAAGTGTTTGTACATATCCAAAAAAACCCTCACGAGCTCTATAATTAAATGCCACACAAGCAGCATACGCACATTGAAAGGTTCAGAGAGACAGAAGCTTAAAACAAAAGTTGTTATTTTACGTTTCTTGTGACTGTTGAAATGTAGAACGTTTCACTCCGGATACCACGGAGGGAATAAACCCCAGCATCATCACCTCAGATTTCAGCCCTGGGTTAGAGAATGCAGACGGTAACATTGTAGAACGTTCATAAAAATACCTAAAAAGTTAATTTAAAAATAGCTTTGCAAGGTATTATTTGTTTATAAGGCATTATTATTTATAAAGCATTATAAATATATTATAAAAGCTGTTGTCTACCATTACTGGAGAGCTCTGCTGGTGTCAGTGTTCACTTCGTTAAGTGGTTGTAATAATAATAATAATAATAGTATAATAATAAAAATAAAGATTAAAATATATCTCAATATGTATAATAAACATATAATAATTATTATAATAGTAGCTCAGTGTAAATAATCACCTGCAGTGATCATTTCAGCCGGTTCTGACACCGACCCCTCCCTTACCAGATCACCTCACGCACTTTCCACATTTCAGTACTAACGCCGCATGAGAAAGACACAGTAACAAAGAGTGTTAAATAGAAAATACTTCATTTCATTCTTCCGATTTTTTTTCCACTGGGATTTTGCCTTTTCACCCGAGGAAACTCTGGTTGGCTCAGCTCGCTTTGCACTTCCAGTAAAAAGTCTTCCCATCCCACTCCAGCCGGCCGTGCCCTTAGCATCCCTCTGACACCCGAGGGCCCCCGGGGGCAGGCTGGGCTAGCCCGCGCTTCCCTGCGGACACCGGGATTTACCATTTCCCGGTGATTCCCGCTGGCTTTGCCGGGATTTGGTCGGCGCCCGGGCGGGACGCGCCGGAGCGCTTTGGGCGACGCACCGGGAGGCGGCGGAACCTTGAGGGGGAGCACCCGGAAGTGGCAGGAAGTTCCGGTCGGGCATCTCCGTGATGGCGGCGCCGCTGCGCGTGTGGGTGAACGGGACGGGACGGGGCGGGACGGGGGTGGCCGCGGGGGAGGAGGCCGCTGAAGCTGACGCGCGATGTCCCGCAGGCTGGCGTGTGGTGACGTGGAGGGGCGGCTGGAGACCATCTTCGGGCGGGTCCGCGCCATCCAGGCCAAGAGCGGCCGCTTCGACGTAAGGCCTGGGGGGCTGGCGAGACGCGGGGTGTCCCGGGGGGTCCCCATTCCCGGGGGGTTCCCGTTGCCTTGCCGGGATGGCGGGGCTGGGACAGTCGCAGCCGCAGTGTTGTGACAGTACAGCGAAGCGTTGTGTGTGTTCTATCTGCGCTCCAACGGCAAAGGTTGCCTTTCCCGGTGTTTTCAGATGCTCCTGTGTGTCGGGAATTTCTTCGGCTCTTCCTCAGAGGCGGAATGGGCCGAGTACCGCACGGGGGCCAAGAAAGGTAAGGAGGGAGGGTGCTGTCCCTCGGGATGCTGGCACTGCTTCCCAGCCCGCTGTGGAGTGCAGGAGCAGCGGTTGGGTGGTGTCAGATCAGTCACACCTCAGCAGGGAAACCCCACCCAGCAGGGACAGAGGGGTTCGTTTGGAACCAAAACTCCTTTGTGTGGATTTCACTGCCTCTGTGCTCTGCTGTTTGTCAGCATGGCCTAGGGAATGTCCCTGCTTTTAGGGCTGTGGATCATTTTGGAGCTAATCTTACATAGGCAGGGGAGGCAGTTGTAGTTAGAGCAGAGTTGTGCTCTGCCTGCAGCTGTGGAAACTCCAGGTTTGGGGACTTGTTCTGCAGGAAGGTTCCTTGTCCTGCACTCGGTGCTCCTTAGCTTTGCAAGGGTGAGGTGGGGGGTCTGGCTGGACAGGCTTTCCTGCTGTGATTCCTGGGAAGTGTGGACTGGACCTCTGCTGGGGCACTGGAAGTAAAGTTGACTGACTGCAGGAGGTTTTCTCCCTCAGCTCCAATCCCAACCTACGTGCTGGGTGCCAACAACCAGGACACCCTGAGCTATTTTCCGGACATCAGTGGCTGTGAGCTGGCTGAGAACATCACTTACCTGGGTAAGGCTGCAGGGGCTTTGGGATCAGGGAGCTGCATTTGCCTCCTGGGGCTTTCACAAGTGTTTTCTGATCTTCCCATTCAATATCTTCATTTTTCTGGAAGTTTCAAGGTGGCATTTTTTTCCTGTGGTTCAGCCTGGAGTTGAACTCAATACAATCTGTATAAAATATGAAAGAAAACCTTGCTTATTTTGGTTTTTTTTTTGTTCCTCTAACACTGCACTTGCCAACCAAAAGGAACAGTGGTTGAAAGAGCCTGTTCTTTGAGGGCATCTTCTTCCCTCTCTCTGTGTGGGGAAGGTTTTGTGCTTGAATATGATTTTGCTGTGTTACCTCTGCTACTGCAGTACAGCCACAGTGCCAACTGAAGGTAATGAAACTGTACCAAAGCTAAAAGGAAAAACCACTGACCAACAATCTAACAAGCAGTTGGACCTGCATTGGCTTTTTTTACTCAGCCTTCATATCATGCTTTTGGGTGGATTTTTGGGGAAGCAAGATAAGAGGGAGCAGAGAGAAGACAGAGGGTTGTCTGAACAGATGTTTCAGGGAGCGGAGAGAAGATGGGGATTGTCTGAGCAGCTGTTTCAGGGAGTAAAGAACATGGAGGTTGTCTGAGCAGCTGTTGTCGTCAGGGTGGGGTTTGAGCTAAACAGTGACTTCACTCTGGGCAGAGAAGATGAGCTGCCTGTGAGGGCAGTGTCAGTGTGTCAGGAGTGCTGGGCCTGGCCCTGTGCCCCTGGCTCAGTGGGTGCCCGTTCCCCTGGCTCAGCGGGTGCCCGTTCCCCTGACTCAGTGGGTGCCCGTGCCCCTGGCTCAGTGGGTGCCGTGTCCCTGCAGGCCGGCGGGGTGTGTTCAGCAGCTGCTCGGGGCTGCACATCGCGTACCTCAGTGGCACGGAGGCGCAGGAGCAGCCGGCTCCCGCCCACAGCTTCAGCGCCAAGGACGTGGCGGAGCTCAAAACATCCCTGTTATCCACCCCAAACTTCAGAGGAGTGGACATCCTGCTTACCTCCCCCTGGCCCAGAGACGTGGGCACCTTTGCCAACAGCGCGGTAAGTGGAGCGTTTCTGGTTTCCGGGTGGATTTGACAAAGGATTGCCTTTTGCTTGCTGTGGCAGTTTGGGCTGTTGGGCCGTCTCATGAGTGGATGAGAAAGCTGGGAGTGAAAAAAGGACAGTTTGGTTCTTCAGAAAAGAAGGACTGAAGGGGAGGAGGATTTGTGAAGCTTCAGGGGGTTTAATCTGTCCCTGCCTGGAAGATCCAAGTGAGGGGCTTTCACCTGATCACAAGCATTGCTCTGATTTCAGTTGATTGCAGCTGCTCTCGAATGAAGCTGCTGCTCGCTGAGCAGGAATGCTGTGCTCTAAGCACCTCCAGTACCACTTGACATCAAGTCATTCTTTTTTTCCCCCCTTCCAAACTTTTGAAGCGTTCTGGTGTTTATTTCCTTGAGTATCAGTCAGCTGGTCTGGTTGTTCCTCCATCTGGACTTTGAGCATGTTGTTTCATTTGTGTCCAGTTTTGTGTTGTTATTGTTTCTTAGCAGAAGGGATTTTCCAGTTGTAAGTTCAGATGATCTCTCACCTTCCTGGAGAGCAAGGCTGCACATGTGGCAAAAGGACATTGTTTGCTCTCAGTTTCTTCCAGCGTCCAAAAAGATGCTCAGTGTGAAAGCATTAAGAACCTTCCCTGATCTTGGTCTTATCTTATGCATTATCTTGTAAGATGATATATGCATATCTTATAAGATTCCCTTATGCACTGAGATCCTGACAGACTTGGATTGATGAAACAAGTGGATGCAAACTGAATACACAGAGTGGAATAAATGAGTAGGCTCTGGTTGGCAATAAAAGATCAAACCCTCTGGGCTTTTTTCCCCCACTTCCAGGGAATGCCAACCACTATACTACACATCCAACATGTAGTTCTGTATAAAACTGTTTCTTTTCACTGCACTCTGACAGGTTTAAATAAAACTTGGCTTGTATTGTGCAGGGAGAAATAGATACCAAGACATGTGGCTCCAAGTTGGTATCAGATCTGGCTGCAAGTGTCAAACCAAGGTACCAT